GCACCACCACTGCCAAGCCTTAAACTCTTAAGACTAAAACTTTATTTACTAGCAATGTGCTGTGTGTGGGTGAGTGTGGTAGGTATGCAGAGGTCAGAGGACAGCTATGTAGAGAAGGTTCTCTCCTTCTGCCTGTGTCTGGGGCCAGGTTTGCGCAGGAAGCACCATTACCCCAAGCTATCTCACTAGCCCTAAACTCTTTTAAATAGCTGCTGTGTCTAACGGTACGCAGGAAGCCATTCGGGAACTTTTTAGAAGGAAGAGAGGATTGGGTTTATACGCTGATATAGTTGGAGGCCAGGAGTCTTAGAGGAGGAACACAGCGTATGGAATGGGAGGGAATCAGGTGCGGTACTACACATGTACAAATTTCAGCATCTGGAAAGCTGAGGCACGAGTACAAGCTTGAAGCAACCTGGATTAAACTGTGAGACCCTGGCTCAGTGAACAAAACGAAAACACTAAATGTGTAAGGGAGCTGGAGAGACGGCTCAGCACTTAAGAGCATGTGAGTTTGGCTCCTAGCAACCACGCCAGGTGGCTCAAAACCACCAACTCTGGCTTAAAGGGGTCCAATGCCCTCTTCCTCCGATGCCCTCTTCTGGCCTCCACGAACACTGCAATCGTGCACACAGGCACACACAGAAATAAAAATGAATCTTAAGCAGAAAAAAGCCTCTATTATCTTCTGCCAGCGATGATGTAAAGACCCTAACCCTGACCTTGACCTTTAGCACCATGCATTACTGATAGGAATTAGACTGCTTCACTAGGTGGTGGTGGCGCATGCCTTTAGACACAGCACCAGGGAGGCAGAGATAGGTGAGCTCTATGAGTTCAAGGCCAGCCTGGTCTACAAGAGCTAGTTCCAGGAGAGCTAGGGCTGGCTGTTACACGGAAAAACCCTGTCTAGAAAAACCAAAACAACAACAACAAAAAAATTAGAAATTAAACTGCTACTTTGAACTACTTTAAAGAAGTAATTTAATCCACAGCTGGCAAGATAGACATCTGGTTCGATCAAAGAGACTTTTAAAAGGATGGGGTTATGACACAAGGACCCAGGAGATATCTTAAAGTGGTTTCTACTAACAAATCTGAGGCAATTTGAACACCAAGACAATTTAGAGAATTTTTTAAGCTAGAGTCTTGTGTAGACCAGACTAGTCTCAACCACACAGTTCAGCTAAGGTTGACCTTCTGAAAATCAAATACACACCATGGCATCCTCCACACACATAATAAATAAATGCAATTTACAAAAAACAAAAGCAAAGAAAGCCAGATGTGGTGGCATGCATTTGCAATGCCAGAACTCCAGCGGCACACGGGCCAGGAGACTGAGTGGTGAGCTCTGGGCCAGTGAGACACTGAGACGAAAAACAGGGTGAATGGTCCCCAAGGAACAGCACCTGAGGCTGTCCTCTGGCTTCCACATACACACATATACAAGTGCACACTCTCACAAGCGCTTGTGCACACACACACAAATTCAAGGAAAATGTACATTTATTTTTATATCACCTGCTTCTATTCTTTATCACATTTTATAAATTTGTTTGCACACATTTTGAAAGGAAAACAAAAAGTCCTAACACGGAAAGTGTCTGGACTGAGGCTTCTGAAGAACGCAGTGTTCTTCCAGAGCGGTGAGGATCAACAGAAAAGCTACAGCTGAGCTGCAGCAGCAGGCGCCCCCAACTGAGGAGACTTCAGAGAAGCTGGACCCTCATGTAGTTAGGTAAGTCTGGGCCTGAGGGGTCTGTTGAATGTGCCTCACCACAGCTGGAAAGCTGAACACTATGATGCCTGACAGACACCTATCTGATGCACCCTCCAGCCTGGCACACCCCTAGTCTGAGCTGATTATCCCTCCTAGTCTTGAGCACTTCCAGCGTTGAACCGACCAATCCAGCAGGCTTAGGCCACCATCCACCTTGAGAACAGCCCAGCAGCTCTGGGGATCTGCAGACACATGCCAGCTTCTCCTATCCCAGCCCTTGAGATCTTGCCTTGCTAGGTTTGTACTTGGCCCTGAGCTTGACTGCAGCTCCCTCTTGTGACCTTGCTTACTGCTGCTGACTTCTACCATGCTAATTCAGCCTTTGGCTTTCCTTCAGCAGCTCTGGCATTGTGTGCCTTGCCCTGGCCCTGACTCCCTGGCTCCCCTATGACTCAGGACATTGACTCCTTGGCCCAGAACCCCACCCTGCCAATGCATGCTCTGGTCCTCCTCTCTGAGGCTCTCACTGGGAAAGAACTGGAATATTTAATCTAAAATCTCCCAGGTTTCCAGGCCCCTCCAGCCTGCCTTGCAAAAAGAAACTTGGAGCTTCTAATTCTGTGAACATAATTTCCGACCCAAATATGAGAAAGGACCCCAAAGACACGTAGGTGAATAATGAGGCTTTAAGCAGGAATAGCTGCAGCTCTATCCAGGAACTGACTACAGAATAAGGAACGTAACTACCCAGCCCCAAGATTGCCTGCTCTACCCTGGTGCTGGCTAGTTTTATGTCAACTCATTACAAGTAGAAGAAGGAACCTCAGTCGAGAAAAAACCTCCATAAAATTTGCCTGTGTGAAAATGCAGTGCATTTTCTTAATTAGTAATTGATGTGGGAGGACACAGCACCATCTCTGGGATGGTGGTCCTGAGTAATACATATAGCTACAGATAGATGCAGGCTGAGCAAACCAAGAGGGAGCAACCGGTAAGCAGTGTTCCTCCATGGCCTCTGATTCAGTTCCTGCCTGGCTTCAGCAGTGATGGTCTGGAAGTAAAAGTTGCTTTTGGTCAAGGTACTGGTCACAGCAATAGAAACTAGCTGGGTATTGGTGGCATACACCTTTAATCCCACCTTGGGTGGCAGAGGCAAGCAGATCTCTGTAGTTTGAGGCCAGTTTGGTCTACAAAACAAGTTCCAGGACAGTCAGGGCTACACAGAGAAACCCCTATCTCCAAAAACAACAAACAAATCCTAATTAAAACAACCCCTTTTATTTGCTCAGAAATATTCAGGAACCCAAGGAAGAAAGATCAGTAAAAGGATTGCTCAACCAAGTATGGTGACACAGCCTTTAGAGCAGTGACTTGCTGGAGCCAGATGGTTAGGAGCCTATGTGCTTAGCCTGTCTCGAAAAGAGAGAGAGGGCAAGGGATGGAGTTCAGCAGTACAACTAGCCTAGAATCCATCAGGGAAGGACTGCGGAGGGTCACTCAGTGGGAGAGTGTTTGCCTAGAATCCTCCAGTGAGGAGCCATAATTGTGGCTTAGCAGGAGAGCTTTATCTGGGATTCCCCATTGTTTCTGGGAGCATGACTCAGTAGCATGTCGGGCCTAGGTTCAACTCCCAGTTAATAAATACACATTTAAAAAAGAGAACCAGGCTTGATTAGTAGGCCTGATGATCCAGTCTGTGGAGTCTATGTTTGGAGCAGATAGTCCTGGAGTGTGTACCCCACTTTTGCTGCTAAATGGCTCTGATTCCTCAGGCCAATGCTTCTTTCTGCTGGCAGCTTCAGGGTCTCCATCTGTGACTCAGGAACAACTTCCATACTAGAGACTTTTTTGTAAGCAAAGCCTGACAACAGCATTATAAGGGAGTTTGTCTATTTCGGCTCATGGTTTCAGAGGTGTCAGTGTGTGGCTGTCAGGTGGGTTGTGTTCCTGGGCCTACAGTGAGGGAGAACATCATGGTGGTGGGAGCACAGGCAGCAAACAGAAAGCAAAGAGGAGAGAAATGGCAGAAGAGGACAGACACTACAGCCACCAAGGTATGTTCCTTCTGACCTACTTCCTCCAACCAGATAGGAATTTCTACCTGCCTCAACAATTCATTCTAATCCCTCAAGCGATTGGGTCTAGCTCAGTCTTCATGATCTATCTCTGGAAACACTCTCACAAACACACCCAGAGGTGTGCTATTCCCTCTTTCAGAGGTAGACCTACTTGATTCTGAGGCCAACCAGAGCAACACAATGACACCCTGTCTCAAAAAAACAAAACAAAGCGAGGAGGTGATGGTACATGCTTTTAATCCCAGCACTCGGGAGCCAGAGGTAGGTAGATCTCTGAGTTCAAGGCCAGCCTGGTCTACAAAAGCTAGTAGTTCCGGGACAGCCAGGGCTACATAGAGAAACCCTGTCTTGTAAAACTAGAAGAAAAAAAAAGTTTCAAAAGAATCAAAACAAAATAACAATAGCAAACAGAAGTCTTTAGAAGGCTGGCACACCTGGTCCCGATGGTCCTTGTAGGCAGCTGAGGACACTGACAGGGACCCTGTGGCCAAGAAAACAACTAAAGACGCAGAAATGAATTTACGACAGAGAATGTATCTCTGTGGATAACAAAGTGTGTTTCTTCATCAAGGTTCATCATGGTTGTCACAGCAGATCAGCTGGCTGGAAGACAGTAAAGAGGAGGGCTGGAGATGACGGTGTCCTCAGGGAGAGCCACTGCACCACACCTCTGAAGGGCAAACACACATAAAGACTCTACCTCCAGACCCAGCAGTGAAGATACCTGGTAGAGAATCTTTGCCTCCTGGACGTCCTCCTAAGGACAGGAGTGACGACATGTTAACGGGGCAACAGCCCCATCAGAAGAGAACTGCAGCTAATGTTCTTGTAGAAGAACTACTTCACAACTCTGACACAGGGCTAAGACAAAGGGAAACTGAAGGTGACAGGTACTCAGCTGCCCATCTGCAGCCTCCCTGATGGGGAAAAACGGGCCAGCTAGTCCCACACAGGAGTCATTTCTTAACCCCTACCTCGGGGAAAGATTGGAGGAGAAGATGAAAGAAGGTACTGAAACCTCTGAATCTGATGCTTCTGATGAAAAACCACTATCTTGTACTTCTGACAATACCCTCAACTAACAGGATGAAGTTTCCAGCTAGTACCGGACTTTACGCCCTTCAGAGGTCATCCCGAGTACAGAATGTCTTTAGTTATGAAGAGTCATGGCAATGTCCGATAATTTTTTTTTGAGGGGGAGGGGAATCTATGGTACTCAAAAAAGATTACCTATCACTGCACATTTTATTAGATAAACTATGGTGTCTGGAGAGAAAGAATCTCCCCATTACATAATAATGCCATTAAACTCCTATTAAATATGACAAAAAAAGGTCTCAAAAAATAAACTAACCTCCTCTCCCCACAAAATGCGTGCACACACACAGTATAGTGGCACATCATATGGTCATATGGTGTGGTTTTTGTTTGTTTTTATGAGACAGGGTCTCACTGTGTAGCTCTGGCTGGCTGGAACTTGCTATATGGACCAGGCTGGCCTCTGCCTTTCAAACTGAGAGGCATACACTTTTAATCCCAGTGCTCAGGAGGCTGAGGCAAAAGAATCATCAAAAGTCTGATGACAGAGTGGGCTACAGACTGAGTTCAAGGTCACTTTGGGCTGTCAGTGACTCTGAAAATAAACAAATACTCCTCATTTTCATCAGGTGGTGTCCTATGCTACCCAAGCACTCGGGCAATAACAGGGCCATCCCCAGGTGCCCTTTGACCATGAACCAGAACCATGGGCCAAAATAAGTCTCTTTTCCTTGTCATTTACCAAGGCTGTAAGAATTGTTTTTAGCAATTAACAGAAAAAGGACTAATTTTTTGTATGTATGTGGTATGCATGCATGTTAGATGTGTTCACATGTGATTTCCTTCCTATGCGGACCAGGCTGGGCTCACACTGGAGTTTGCTCTTAATCTCCTTTTCTAACGTCCTGTTTCTGCTAAGGACATTCCTCTAGAGTGAGCTAAGCTCCGGGTCATTTCCCCAGGAGCAGCTGTGTGCAGCTCTGGAGCTCTCAAGCACGAGCCATTCTTACAGCTCCGCTCTCACCCAGCCGCTCCTGCCATAGTCTACGACACAGGCAATAACGCGCTAAATAGCTTAGCACTGCGTACAAGTGTGGCAGAGGCCACAGAAGTCTTTCTACCCAGAAAGTCCCGTCTTGAGCTCTCTGCCCTTCTCTGACCCCATGTTTCTTGATCTCAAGGCATAAAGATTTCTTTATATCTTATTTTTGCAATTTCTCCCAACCAACCCTGAGATCAGGCATATAAAGAGAGGGTAAAACCAAATAAACAATCCTCTGAACATCCAGGAAATGGCTGCTGGGGCTTTGAACTCCACGAACAACCTTGCCAGCTGTGCACATCTATGCTGGGTCTTCCTCTTCCATCACCACATCACTGCTAGTGCTTTTACTCTGTTCATCCTCTGGTCCTGCAGGCAGAATGCTAGTGACAGTATGCAGAAGGGCTTCAATCTGCTCCTCCGTGAGCCGCTCTTCACTCTCTTCTACCATCTACAAGGGAAAGGAAACCTGTCAGGGGTTAGAAGTAAGCCTCCCTTCATTGCCCACCTGAGCCATGCAGCCCACAGTGCAGTCCAGAACCTGGACCTGAGCCAGCCAGGTCTTCATCTAGGATCTACAGTAGGATGAAGTCAGCTCAAATCCAAGATCAAGCCAAAGCAAGCATGCAAAATGGGTCTGGAGAGTTGAGCATCTGTCTGTCTTTCTCTTCCTGCACGTTGCTCTTCCTTTTTTTGACAAGGTAGCCCTGGCTGTCCTGAAACTCACTATGTAGACCAGGCTGGCCTCCAACACACAGAGATCTGCCTGTCTCTGTCTCGTGAGTGCTGGAACTAAAGATATATACCACCACTAACTATGTCCAGCTTGTTTTTTTTTTAAATAAAGGGAAATTCTAACTATTCTGTTCCCATTCACATCCACACACTAATATGTTAGGTGTGCAAAGAAACTCACCTTTGGGGGGTGAAAGGGCCCTAGATAAACTTTAGGATTTCACAACAAACTACCTCCGTCGTAAGTGGTATAGCCCAGTCATTCGATGCTGCTTCCCCTGTACCAGTTTCTATCCTCCAACAGTTCTCACCAGAGCTCTGCGGGGCCCTCGTGATCTCTTTCAGTACTCACTGCAATCCTAGCAAGAAGTAGGACTGGACTCCCAGCCTGGCATGCCCAGGTAGAAAGTCTACAGCTAACACATATCACATTGTGGTTTGGCTCCTAAATATCCCTCAAATACTGTGCCTAGGAAGCTTGGTCCTCAGCCTATGACACTACTGGAAGGCTGAAGAACCTTTAGTAGTGGGGAGTACAGGGAGGAAGTCAGGATATTGGGGGTGCTAGGACCCTAGGCTTTCCTCAAGTTTATGGCTTGGTCACTGTCCAGGCCTAAAGCAGCAGAGCCATCTGTACTTGGACTGAATCTGAAATCATGAGACAAAATAAACCTTTCTTCTTTGTAAAGTGGTTATGTCAGGTATTTTATTACTGCAGGAGAGACTAACGCAGCCCACTAATCTCCAAAGGCAGAAGAGGAGCCTGACGAGTAGTAGAGAGAAAGAGAAGCGGAAGAGATGATGGCTCAGCAGTTAAGAGCACTGGCTGCTGGTGCAGAGGACCCATTTCAGGTACCAGCAGCCACATAGCAGCTCATAACCACCTGCAACTCCAGCCCCAAGGGATCCAACGCCTCCTCTGGCCTTTGCAGGCACCCACGTGCACCCTCACACAGACACAGGCACACACACAAACATCAATAAAAACTAAATTTTTAAGATTTTAAATTTATTTTTACTTTTTACACGTATGAGCTTTTGCATGCATGTGCACCACGTGTGTGCCTGATGCCTGCTAAGACCAGAAGAACACATCAGATCCCTTAAAACTGGAGTTAAAGATGGCTGTAAACCACAGAGGTGCTGGGAACTGAACCTGGGTCTCTGGAAGAGCAGCAAGTGCTCTTAACTCTCCATCCTCATAAAAATACAACTTTAAGCCAGGTGGTGGTGGCACACGCCTTTAATACCAGCACTCGGGAGGCAGAGGCAGGTGGATCTCTGTGAGTTCGAGGCTAGTCTGGTCTACAAGAGCTAGTTCCAGGACAGAAACCCTGTCTCGAAAAACTAAGCAACTTTAAAAGCAGTATGCAGGTATCCAAGACTGTGTTCACAAGGAGGCATGAGCATGCGACAGATACCAGATGAAGGTTTTTTTAACAAATAACCTGAGACCCAACAACTGATACAAAAAGGTATTTCAGAAAGAACCCTGGTAAATGTGCAGTGGGAAGTCAAATAAGGAAAAGGTTCCATCCTGAAGAGAACGGCAGTCTGACTGCCTCCTCTTGCAGACACAGTAGTGCTGATCTGAAGACCACATAAGACACACCCAAGAACACATCACGGGTGCACAGAACACTTTCCTTTCGGCAAAACCGTTTCTGTAGCTAGAGAATAGTTTTGGGTGTTTCAAGTATGAAGTGTCCTGACCATTTTCTAATGGTTCTTTTTTTCTTTATTTAGGGAAGGTCTCAAGTACCCCAGACTGTCCTCAAACTTGCCATGTAGTCAAGGATAACCTTGAATTTCTGATTTGGGAGCCACCACCACCCAAGTGCTGAGATTATCAGGTGCATACAGCAAGCTGGGCTTGTGCAGTGCCAGGAAAGCAACATTTGTTCAACATTCTCAACCATCAGGGAAATCCAAATTAAAACTGCTTGAGATTTCACCTTATCTCAGTCAGAAGACCCAAGATCAGTAAACAAACGACAGTAGATGCTGGCGAGGATGCAGGGAAAGAGAAACACTCCTCCATGGTTTATGGGAATGCAAAGTGGCACAGCCACTATAGAAATCAGTGTGGAGGTTCCTCAAAAAGCTGAGCATCGATCTACCTCATGATCCAGCTACAGCATTCCTGGATATATACCAAAGGACCTACATCTTACTACAGAGATACTTGCTCATCCATGTTCACGAAGCCAGGAACCGGAAACAGCCTAGATGTCTACCAGCTGATAAAAAATGAAAATGTTGATACACTTACGCAGTGGAATACTGAAATCTACAGATAAATGGATGCAGCTAGAAACAATCGTCCCAAGTAAGGCAACCCCAGATCCTGAAAGACAAACACTGAGCGTTTCCTCTTCTATGATAGTTAGCTTTTAAGCTTTAGTGTATGTGTTTCATTTAGAATGCCCAGAGGTTAGGTAGTTAGTAAGTAATCCGCAGGAAGGATGGGATCTTCCAAGGAAGGAGAAATAGAATACGATGTTATAAAGGGATAAAGGGTCTGGTATATGGATGCACATTTAGAAGCAGAGTCAGGCAGATCTCTATGAGTTCAAGGCCAGCCTGGTCTATATAGTTAAGTTCCAGGACAGCCAGGGCTATGTAGAGAGACCCTATCTCAAAAAAACAAAAACAAAACAACAGAAAGAGATAAAGGGGAACTAGAATAGGAGAATAAAATGGGGGTGAAAGAACAGGGTAAGGGAAGGAATGTGGGGAGGGACAGTTAACACTAAAAGCCCTTGTTGGTGGTGGTGGTGCACGCCTTTAATCCCAGCACTCAGGAGGCAGAGACAGGTGGATCTCTATGAGTTCGAAACCAGTCTAGTCTACAGAGCAAGTTCCAGGACAGGCTCCAAGGCACAGAGAAACCCTGTCTTGAAAAACCAAAAAACAGGGCTGGAGAGGTGGCTCAGTGGTTAAAAGCAAGCACTAGCTGCTCTTACAGAGGTCCTGAGTTCAATTCCCAGTACTGACATGGTGGCTTACAACCACCTATAATGAGATCTGGTGCCCTCTTCTGGCCTGCAGATGTGCGTGCAGGAAGAACTCTATACATAATAAGTAAGCCTTTAAAAAAAAATCCACATGGAAACCTATTATATAGAAGTTTGCTGAAATGTACACATATGTGAAAGAAATTCCCAGCAAGACATCTTATGCTACCAAGTAACCATCCCCCCACTCCATTGCTAGGAATGGGTTACAACTTGGTAAGTCATTGGTCAAAAGGATCCCAAAGAATTCCCCCCAAATGATAGAGTACTGCCAAGGCTATTGGTTATCCTCCATAACCTAAGAGTAAGGACATATATGAAGATACCACTTACTAAGCCGGGTGGTGGTGGCACACACCTTTAATCCCAGCACTCAGGAGGCAGAGGCAGACAGATCTCTGGGAGTTCGAGATTAGCCTGGTCTACAAAAGCTAGTTCCAGGATAGGCTCCAAAACTACAGAGAAACCCTGTCTCGAAAAAACCACAAAGAAAAAAAGAAAAAAAGGATGGAGAAACAGAGCTGGTGCCCAATTAGAAGCTTCTCCCCTACTGGATCACGTTCACGGTACTAGAAGGTACTATGCACATTATCAGAGAAGAAAAGTAGTCTTCAATAATCACCTAGCTACGAACATGTCTGCAAGATGTACTGCTACCACAGTAGCACAAATGTTACAGGAGTAACCAGCTGTCTTTTGATTGGATTTAAGACCCACGCCATGAGCTGGAGCCCCTATATGGTACTGCTAAAGGACCAAGAACCTGAGACTAGACAGGTCATCGGTCCTAAGGGAAGTAAGTCTACTACAATTATTCTGCTCAAGGAATGCAGCAATAGAATGACTCTTAATGACACACCGCTGTACCCACAGAGCAGCACACCACACACCCTCACTAGTGAAACTTCTTGCAGTAGATGGGACCTAACACAGAGACCTACAACTGGACACTGAGCACAGAGTGGGAGATTTCGGAACACTCAACTCTAATGAGATCAACCTCCTGCTATCAAGGCTCAGAAATCTAAGCTGAAGAGGAGGTGGAAAGATTCCAAGAGCCAGAGGTGATGGATGATAACAAGGAGTCTTCAAGGCACATCAAGGATGATCTACATAACAACTCAGAGGGATTATGACAGACAAGTTTAGCTCATCACAGAGAAGGGGAGGTAGACACAAAGTCCGACTCCTAACCAAGAGGCTATTTGCAACAGAATTCTGCAGGGAAAAGGAAAATCTGTTTTCTCCAATGGAGTAACACTGGGCACACCAATTCTTCTCCAGGACAAGACCCATGCCCAGGAGCAGGCTAACATATAGCAGACTCCATGTTCTTTATGCCTTCTGTTTTAGTTTGGTAATTTTTGTTTTATTAGGGATCTTTTGTTTATTTTGATTTTTGTGTTGTTGCTATTGTTGCTGTTTTTTCTCCTTTGAGAGAAAGAGAACATGAAATTGGGAGGGTAAAGAAGTGGGAAGGATCTGAGAGGAGTCGGGGAGGGGAAAGAATATGATCAAAATAGACTTTATGAAATGTTTTAAAATAATAAGAAAAGTAAAAAAAGCCCAACTCTTTAAAAATGCATTTTTAGACAGATATGTTGATGCATGTCTTTTTTGACAGTATTTAGGAGGTAGGGACAAGAGAATCAGGAATTCAAGATCATCCCAGCCTCAACTACATATTAAGTTTGAGGCCAACCTAGGCTACATGAGACCTTACCTCAAAAAAATCCACAAAATCAGATCAGACACACAAAATTAATGGCAGTAATCCAACACAGTATGCCATGACCCCAAAGAAGAAAGGGAGTTGGAGTGAAATATCTGATTTGATTATTTAGTGCAAAGGAAAGACTGTAAGCTGGTGAAATACTGCCAGACATGGCCAAAGCATCTGTGAAGCGCTCCACCATGTAAGGAGCCGCAGTATGGCGGCTCCTGCTATGGGCGGATGGACCCCTGAGGCTTCCTTTTTACACAGAACCAGTGCTGTTGCCCATTACTGACTCTGGGTCTGGCAGCTGCAGTGCCAACCAGGAGTCACCAGGTGCGACCTTAGCAGAAGGGTAACAGCTCTCCAAGCTGGCGACTGTACCACAGCTATACCCACAGGGTAACTGTAGTTGGAAAGGTGGTTTGAAACATAAGACTCTGAGTTTTCAGGCACAGGAAGAAAATGAAAGCTTACCTACCCTCTTGGACCACCAGGGTGAGCAGCAACTATATCCAGCCTCACCTTTCCTCCCATAGGAGAAACTCAAGGCTCAGCCCAGCGGTGGCGCACACCTTTAATCCCAGCACTCGGGAGGCAGAGGCAGGTAGATCTCTATGAGCTCAAGGCCAGCCTGGTCTACTAGAGCGAGTTCCAGGACAGGCTCCAAAACAGCAGAGAAACCCCATCCCCCAAAACAAAAACAAACAAACAAACCTCAAGGCTCCATCTCAATGTTCCCCAATACCAACACGTCAAGTTGTTCACAATATAAAATCAAATGAGTATGTAAAACCCTAGCAGGCAGACAGCTCTTGGTGATGACAAATCTCTGCAGACACAAAACTCTCTAATCCCTGGAGACTGCCAAATGCTCCAGAAGAGGCCACTCCCCACTGGAAGTTGCCAGTCCTAGCACGGGGCTTTCCTCACATGACCCAGCCTAACAGGCCAACAGCAGCAATTAGAAATCAAATGCTTAAACACTGAAAGCAGTTTTAAAGCTTTTCTTGTTTTGTTTTTTCAAGACATAGTTTCTCTGTAGCTTTGGAGCCTGTCCTGAAACTCACTCTGTAGACTGGGCTGGTTAGTCTCAAACTCACAGAGATCCGCCTGTGTCTGCCTCCTGAGTACTGGGATTAAAGGCATGCACCACCACCACCCAACTTACTTTTTTCTAATTTTCAAAGTTTTTCATCTTTGTGTGTGTGTTTGTGGGCATGCTCAAGTGAGTGTGCCACAGTGTGTGTATCGGAGGACAATCTTGAGTCTGATCCTCACCGTCCACTGCTCATGCATGATAGGACAGTTGGTCTGTTCTCCTCTCCCTGCCCCCATCTCCCTAAAGGAGCACTAGGATTACAGACGCTCACACTACACAACAAGCTTTATGTGAGTTTGGGGGATTTGAACTCGGGTCCTCAAGCTTGTGGGGACAAGCACTGTACCCACGGAGCTATTTCTTCCACACCATCGCCTTAGAATCGGGACCTTTCTGAGCACTAACATGACACTTCCTTAGGGAAGACTTGACAGGACTGCTCTGCACCTAGGTAGAAATTTCTACTTCTGACCTCATTTGACAGGTTGCAGAAAATGAATAAATACAGCAAAATTTTATCAAAAATACTGTATACAACTACTTTCAATCTATATGTTACAGTACATATAAAATATAAATCAGTCCTGTGTTGAAACTTGGGCCTTAAATGAGACATCCTGGGAATAAGGTTCAATACTAAACACAGAGTTGTTCATCCTGGAAAACTCAGCTGTAGCAACAGCCATGACTCCCAGCTATTTGGCCCAGCAGAGCACTTGGCCTCTCAACATCAGCTTCCTCTGACCAACTGAAAGTGACGCCTACAGAGAGCACCACTGGGGCTGGGAGGCTGTTCCAGAAGCCATGGGACTTGATGGGTACAAGTTGGAATGCTGGGCAGGACAAGCATCTGTGATGGACCACAGCAGAGCAAGCTGGAGCCTCCCAGTCAGTGGACGGCCACCAAAGGACCACAACACCCTAGCTGAGGCACTTCTTGCTCTCAACCGAACTCTAGCAAGCATGGGTGGTGCAGGCCCTTTCTGAGTCCGGGGAGAACACATGGCTGTAGTTACTACAGGGAAGTCAAGTCCGTTGCTTTCTGACCTCTGTGAAACCCTCATTCCTTGTGCTCTCTGGCAGACAGGATGCTGCTCTATCTAAGCCCCGCTGCTCGCTATCTTTTGCAGCTAATTCTAGGGTAGGAAAAAAATCTGATTAGAAAATGCTCTAGCTGCAAGGAAAGAAGGGTCTGTAGAAAAAGACATCTGAGGGAACACCACACTAACCATCTCACCAGCTGTGACAAGTGATTCTAGGCACCACCTTGACTGTACCTGGTCGACTGGTAAGGTTCTAGGTGCATCTGTGAGGTGTCTCTGGAAGCCTGTGTGTGAGCTAATCTACTTGCTGGAGAATGTCTGTTAATGCCGGTGAACACCACTCAAGTGGCTAGGGTCAGGACAGCACCATCCTTACCCCAAGTGGGCCACTCGTGTCCTGGGCAACCTCAGCACAGGCTCTTGGCCTTAAGGCTGTAGAACATACAGCAGTCACCCTAAGCTCTCAAGCCCTACATTCTTAGACTGTTTAAACCATCCGCTTCCTTGATTCTGAGAACTTCCCACCTGGACTGAGCCAATCTACTAGTACCTTGGGGGTCTTCAGCTTGTAGATAGCTTTCTGGGGGCTACTGTGCTCCCATAACTTTGTGGTCTATTCCCCTAGTAAATCCCCTCATCTCTGTCTCTGGTGATACAGACCCCAACTGGCCACTCACTATCCTCTAAAATAAAAAGGTGAGAATATCTGTCCTCTTCCAACACTGAAAGGGACATGGACAAGGCCCATGGAGCACGTCTAACATGTCAGAGCGCTCAGTATCAGCTCTTCCAACAAGCAAGTCCGGAGCTTTCCCCAGGCTCGGGATGGAGCCATTCTAATTCTCCTCCTCATCTGTCACTTGGCCACAAACAGCATATGGTGCTGATTAGAGCTGGAGGAGACCCAACATGTGATCCTTAACCCATGGGACAGAGATTGGTTTCTTGATCTTTCCCTCTCCTGTAAGCTGAATCTGTCTAACATCTAGAACAATGAGGACACATAGATGGGGACCTCTGTTTAGCATAAAGGTCAAGTCCCCCAGGAAGCTCCCCAGAATGGAAGGAATGTCTATAATTTAATTTTGGGTACGTTTGGAAGGACAGACACAACTCTAGGAAGACAATGAAGGCTTTAGTCAAAACTTAACTACTTTATAACCTTTGAAATGTTTTAGATAAATTGAGAAGAGCATAGAGGTTCCTGGTCACTGTTTTCCATACTTTGCAAATTTTACAAAGACCCGAATGATTCTTCTGTACTTGTTTTTGTTTTTTATTATATGTGTTTTTCAAAAAAGGAGCATAATATGTGACCTGGGCTGGCCTCAAACTGTCACCCCCCTACTCCTGCTCACAGGCATGCACCCCAACCCCTGCTAAGAGCTGAATATTTCTAAGATAAACTTTGGAAACTATTTTACTAATTCTCAAAGCCAAGTTTTCCTGGTGGTGACAGGACCCGCTTAACCCTCTCACAGCTAAATGATGCTCTGCCTGTGTACCAGGAGGCCCCTGCCGCACCGCACGACACGTGAGAGGAGTCTCTCGCTGGCTTGCACCTTTACTTCCTCCCGAGACACCCTGCTTTGTCTTTGTCCACCATGGCTGAAGGCCTGCAATGGGACTGCAAATTGTGCCTTACAAATTCTTGAGCTGTACCAGATACTTTTATGCAAGGAAATGAGACCACATTCATGGGTTTAGAAAGGGATCTGTAAGACAGGTGTGGTCACACATGCTTGTAGAAGCAGAAGGAAGGATGAAAAACTGCAGGGGTGAGTTATGAAATGCTGACAGAAATTAATGTTATATGCTGGAGAGAGAGAGAGAGAGACTAAGTAGAGGTGGAAGCAAGAGAAAGCGGGAACAACTGAGCATCAGCTAGAACCAGAACTTCTGCTGAGAAGGCCCAGGAGGGCAGGCGAGGAAGACAGCATGTGGGGAAGAGAGAAAGATGTGGGGGAGGGGTACACTCTGAGTCTAATGTTTTTATGCAACATCTGGTTGGCTATAACTCCTACAGGCCAGCCATGGCCAGAAAGGCCTAGAGCAGCAGAGGACACAGGGTCGCCAAACCCGAGGAAGGAACTGATCTTCCAGAGTCCCACTCTCTCTCAGGGGTGGGTGTGCTGTCCCTGGCTTGCTCACTCAGCCTTTCTGCATCTCAGACCCACAAAACAACTCCTGGAATCCAGCAACCTCCCCCACTCACCAGCTGGATCTCAACAGCGGTCATTGGCCTGTGGTTCAGCAGCTGAAGCTTCTCGGCTCTGTCAAAAGAAAAACATCAACTGCTTAAAACTCTCCTGCCCTGAAGGACCTTGGGTCTTGATCAAGTTCCTGTCAGGAAAGAACTGGAGAATCCCTGCCAGGTGGCCCTGTAATAAGGAAGATTCAGAGAGAAGGGGACACCAGACCTCTCCTCAGTGGCCCATGTGCCAGCATCCCACAGGGGACACAGGCACAGCACTTCCTAAGGACTGAGGGATGACTTCCTGCACTCCTAATGACTGGAGCGCCATCCCTGGGCTCTTCTAGAAAAACCTGCCTACCAAGGGTTGTCCTCTGATCTCCACACCCTGCACAATGGCACATGCATGCCCACACTCATAGAACAAATAAGAACATCTAAAGCATGTTTAAAAATATAACACTTGCCATTCACGGGGGCACAAACCTCTGATTCCAGCACTTGGGAGCTAGAGGCAGGCAGATCTCTGTGAATTAGAGGCTAGCCTGTCTCAAAAAATACAAAACAACAACAACAGAACTCCCCATATTTGCTACACTAATTTTTATTTGAAAAATGAGAAAGTATTTTCTTTTTCTTCTTTACTGCTTTACCATTATTTTTATTTATACTTTTTCTAAATTTTATTTATTTTTTTTAATTTTATTTATTTTATTTATTTATTTTTTTTTTAAAAAAGAAAGTGTTTTCTTGATTCAATTTAAAGAAAATGAAGAGAAGATTCTCCTCATTGGTTAGTCACTGCTTAGAAATGGCTAAGAATTCAGTTTTGAGAGTAAGGTTATATATTGCTCAGATTTGTTCTATCTTGATTTCTTTTTAGAAGAATTATTTTTTTAGACATGTATTTATTTATTTGTGTGTGTGAGAGAGAGAAAGAGAGAACGAGAGAACATGTGTGAGAATGTCACAGCGCATACGTGGATAAGAGAGAGAGTGAGATGCCACAGCACACGCGTGGATGAGAGAGAAAGAGAGAGAGAGAACGTGAGATGCCACAGCACACACGTGGATGAGAGAGGGAGAATGCCACAGCACACGCATGGATGAGAGAGAGAGAGAGAGAGCGAGAACGTGTGTGAGATGCCACAGCACACATGTGGGTGTCAAAGGACAACTTGCAGTTGTTTCTCTTTCTCCCATGTGGATTCCAGGAGTCAAACTCAGATGTTCAGGCTTGGCAGTCAGTACCTTACTTACTGAGGCATCACATTTTTATTTCTTATGATAGGTTGGCCTTGAACTTGCTATCTAGCTGAGGATGACTTTGAACTCATGATTCTTCTGCCTCAATGTCTTAGATGCTAGGATGTGATGACAGACGGGGGTTGTCAACTTGACTGGATTATCATCATCATGGAAACAAACCTCTGGACATGCCTGTGAGATCGTTTCCGGGGAGATCAACTGGGGTGGTAATGTGAGTACTGTGACTGCCACCAACCCACTAGGGCTGGGTTCCTACTGAACAAAAAGGAGAAAGGGAGCTGAGCAGCAGCATCCGTCTCTGAGTGCAGACTGAGGCTGCACTGTGACCAGCCGCCTCCCACTCTGCTGCTATGCTTTCCCCAGCATGGTGGACCAGACCCTTTCTCCTCCAAGTGGCTTTGGTCAGGCATTTTGCATAGCAAAAAGTAATTAATATACAGTGTTTGAATTATTTTAGTAAATTAAAAGAAGCCAGGCATGATGGCTCAGGCCTGTTATCTCAGAACTGGGGAAGCTGAGATAGGATATCAAAGTTGAACCAGCCTGGGCTAATTGTAAATTTCCATAACAGATTTAAGTAACAGTTGAAGATAGTAATTACCGTATGACCTCAAACTTGGTATGAGGCCAAGGATACTTTAATACCTGATCTTCCTGCCTCCACCTCCCAGCAGGATTATAGGTCACCATACCCAGTAGCAATTTTCACAAGAGATACACAGCCCACTGTTGAAGAGGTTAAAAGGTGACAGGATTTCAAAGATTAATTTTACTTCATGTATGAGCATTTGTCTGCAAGAATATTCTGTACACCACATATGGAGACCAAAGGAGGGCATCAAATCCCATGAACTAGAACTAGAAACAGTTACGAGCCTCTGTGTGAGTGTTGGGAACCAAACGCCAAAGGCAGCCAGCGCTACTAACCATTGAGCCGTCTCTCCAGCTCCAGTGACAGGGCTTCAGGGCAAGGAATGACCCTACCTTCGCCATCCCCACACAAGTGCTAAGTTCTACAGCTCTTCCTGGGTCTGACTAGACTTTCACACTCATCCTGTACTTCTGTCTGACACAAAGAGACTCTGGATAAAGGTGCAAAGCTACAGCTGCCTACTGTCTGAGGCAGTGGAGTTAAGGACCTCCCCAAACCTCGGGTTCACGTCTGTAAAACAAATGAAGGAGTAGCACTTAGAGCTCATGAGGACTACGAGAGGTGACATTCTCATATCTCAAGTGGCCGCTATCACCATTTACTGCCTGTTCTCTATTTGCTGCCAAAGGAGAAAGAAGTTTAAGTGACAATGAGATAGAAAGTAACCTGTCCGCAGTTCCCAGCAGTCAAGACAGGGACTCAGCCGCCAGCGCTCACACTGGCCATATGCTTCCAGCAGAGCATTCACCATGACGACAGCCCCACCACAGCTCCACAGTCACTCAGGCACCATGACAGCACACATGGTCAAGCTCTACTCCTCACATCCCCGGAAACATTCACCAATCGTTTCCTCAAATGAGATTTCACAGTAGCAGAGCATTGGCCTCATATGCAGGAGGCCTTGTGTTCAATCTCATGCAGGATGGGAAGGGGGGAGGAGGGAGAAGAAAGATGAAAAGAAAAGAAACAAAGGGAAGAGAGGTGGGAGGGGAAGAGAAAAAGACTTTGCACTGAGCCCTGAGAATTTTCTGGACAAAACCGAGGGAACCAGGGCTGGGGATGTGGCTTAGTTACTAGGGTTCTCGCCTGGCATACACAGAGCCCTGAGTTCCACTGCAAACACTACATAAACCAAGGCATCCTGGCACTGCCTACCCTGCCTCTGCTCTGCCAGTCACTGCTTCCTTCAGAAGTTCACCCCCGTGGATTCCACAGTGTCCCTCTTCCTTGTTTGGCCCCTTCGCTGACTAGTCCTTCTTCGTGTGTCGGGTTCTCTCCCTTTGTCTGGCCCTAGCCCTCCATACCGTCCCCTTTCCCTCCAAGCCTCTTACTGATTTCCTCATACAAAATGCACAATCTCCACAGATACCACAGGTTTTGCTGAAGAAATTCATGATTCCAAGATATGTGAGCTGAGCTCCAGACCTTTGCAGCCAAGTGTCTCCCACACATCTCCACGTAGACATTCCAGATGCTTCGAAACCAACACATCTGATGCAATTGTGACTACTTTCCAAAAACTAGCTCCCCCCTGTACTTCTCGCCTGAAAGAGCCTAAGGTCACAAGTCTGGCAGCCACTCCACTTTTTCTAACCCACTGCCAACACTGTTCCCAGGTACTTATGTTTCTCTGAAGGTGTTTGTGCCCTCCTCACCATTACTTTAAATCCTTCAACCTCTCGGTTACGGGACAGCGGCTCCACCACTTCCCAACTTCAGCTTTTCAGTATACTTTCCTCTTACAAGCAAATGCCTTTTAGAAGACTGTGAACTTGTGACGGGAAAGATGGCTCAGTGACTAAGAGCTTTTACAGAGGACCCAAGTTTGGTTCCCAGCGCCCACATGAAGGCCAACAACTTTTCATAACTCCTGTTTCAGAGGATCTGACACCCTCTTCTGCCCTCCACAGATGCCAGGCAGTGCACATAAATACACACATGCCATTCTCAGGGAGACCAGAAGGTGCTGGAGATTCTGGGTGCTGGGAACTAAACCCAGGTCTTTAGCAAGAACAACAAAGTGCTCTTAATCACTGGCCTACCTTTTCAGCCATGGTCCTCCCAAAGGTTTTGGTATCAGTTTGAGTTTCTCTAGTTCACCCCCAAGAACCCTGTGAACTCCACTCTTGGGCAGTTTATCTTCAGATGGCTCCACTTTCACTCCATGACCCGGACAAACTGAAGACATGATACAGCAAAGCCTCAGGCCAATTCCCAACTCGGTGCCTTGCCTAGCAAATGGTATTCCTCACCCAAATCTGGAGACTTCCTTTATCTCATCATCACCTCTTATAAACAAAATAGTACCCTAAAACCGACACTTGTGCGCCTCTCCACTGTGTCCCCCCCATCACAGCACCAAGAGAGACAGAGCAGGCACGATACAAATGCAGTCTGAAGGGTGAGCTGAAGGAAGGGCTAGGGAAGCCTCGGCTTCGAGCAGAAGCTTGTGGCGATTCCGAGGACACAGGAGGCAGGAGTTGATGTCCTGAGAGCAGACCGGGTAAGACCCCCAGGGAAACCTGAGAATCCATCGTCAACACTTGAGCTCTGCTGGTCTGCGGTCCACGTCAAAGCCCTGCAGTCATGTGTGTGCAGGAGAGAAGACGGGCACAATTCCTACAGACCTAACTGAGCTGGCCTCTCCGCAGCTGTGTGCCTTAGAGGGTGATCTCAGGATAGCAGCAGGGGCTGCTAGTTAGGCACCGAGAAATAAAGAGATCAGGCCAAATCCAAAATAGTAAAAAACCAATTTTGGTGGAGATTGGGGTAACACACTAAACAAAAAAAAAATTACATAACTCATGGTGTTAGTAACTTGAAGTTGAATTCCAACTGTATTATTTTGTTGATGAAATCTACGAAGTCAAACAAACATAACTCCTAGCCTATACTCAAGGACTCCAGTAAAGATATCTTAGCAAAGTAATGAATGGATCCCCAAGCAAAACAGAAAGAAGGTGACTTCAAGATCAAATATGAGATTGAAAGGACATATTAAACATAGTTTTAGCGTGATTCCTGGTTAGCAAGGCTGGCCACCGTCTTATTTGACAAGTCGCCCCTTCACCAGTCATGCAGGCAAAGAGGCAGAAGTCAGTCACAGTGCAAGAAGCTTGCTGGCCCCCTCTACTGGCCATTGTGCAGCACTGTCGGAAGCTTTTGCCCAGGCAGTCATAAAACCAAGAGGTAAAGATGTAAAAGGCTTTATAAATGATTAGTTTGAAGACCACAAATTGGAAAGGGGAGCCAGTTAATTCTCTACTGAAGTGGGCTTTAAGTTAATGTGTATTCAACCAATTCTGAAACAATTTCCAAAGCGATTCCTACTTTATAGATTTCTTTCTCCCTCTCTTCCTCCCTTTCTCCAACTCTTCCTCTCCTTTTCTTTTCTTTCTTTCGGTGACACTGGTGACAGGATCCAGAACCTTAGCCATGTTAAGCAAGTTCTCCACCATGGAAAAGATACAGGGACTACATCCAGATAGACAAACGCTTGGAAAAGGACTTGAAAAATCAATCATTAAGATTCCTGTCACATGGGGCTGGCGGGATGGCTCAGAGGTTAAGAGAATGCACTGCTCTTGCAGAGGACATGGGTTCAGTTCCCATTACTCACGTCAGGCATCTCACAACCATCTATAACTCCAGCTACAGAGGATCCCAAGCTTCTGCCAGCCTCAGGCATCTGCACTCACCTGAACTTATCCACATGCAGACATGCAGACACGCAGACATGCAGACACACACACACAATTAAAAATAAGTTTAAGGGGCTGGAGAGATGGTTCAGCAGGTACGAGAACTGGCTGCTCTTACAGAGGACCCTGGTTTGATTCCTAGCATCCACATGGTGGCTCCAACACACTGTAACTCCAGTTCCATGGGATCCAACAGGCACACATGTGATGCACATACATACATGCATGTGGGCAAAACATTAATACACATAATAAATCCAATAAGACATTTTACTGGGTGGTGGTGACACCTTTAACCCCAGCACTCAATTGGCAGAGGCAGGATGATCTCTGTGAGTTCCAAGGCCACTGAAAGAAACCATGTCTCAAAATACAAAAACCAAAAAAAGCAAATAAATAAATACAATTTAAAGAATTTAGAGAGCAATTATCATGCCTTTAAGACCAATTCCCATTGATGACAATGAAAAACCTCAGTAAGCTTGACTACACACTACATAACAAAGGGGCAGCATTAACAGAGGCTTGTAACAACAGAATTGCCCCTCTAAACTATCTGAATATAACAGTCAAAAGACCCAGAATACAATTCACAGTTATTTCAATCAGGAAAATATGACTTATTTTCAAAGGAAAAGAAGAGATAGTAAACTCATGCTAACTCAGATCTTAGAATATCAAAGGTGTCAGCTATTATTATAGAAGAAAAGGAAACAGCGCTGAACTGAATGGACAAACAGCAGGTCTAGCAAAAAAATCATTCATAACCGTGTGCAGACAGTGGAAGGGGAACTGGAGAGATGGCTGCCCTACCAGAGTCCAGACTTTAGATCTTAGCACCCACATTAGGAAGCTCACAAACTTCTGTAACTCCAGCTCCAAAGGATCTGACATCTTCATCTGGCCTCCAAGCACAACTACATACACACACAGTTTAAAAGAGGTTTGTCTCCAGTGTTCACTGAAAGAACAGAGGTGGAGAAGTGTAGCAATCATCATCCCGAACAATGTAACAAAAGTGACTGGAGGGCTGGATCAGTGTTCAACAATACACACCTAGCATGTGCCAAGGCCTGGGTTGAACGCTAGTATCAACAAACACCAAAAAACAAAAACAAAAACAAAAAACAACCAAACAAAAACCCAAAAAACAAAACAAAACCAAAAAAAACAAACAAACAAAAGTTTACGAACCAGCTTTTGGAAGTTATCAACATCAACACTAATCCTAAAAGACATGGACTGGTTCTCTCCTAATGTAAACCCTTAACCTGTGTTTTTAGCTTTTGTAAACTGAACTCACATATATATTAAAGGCCAAGAAAAGCTGCCGGGAGGCATCTGAGGTGCAGGCAGACTACAGTCAAGCCACTTCTACCTCAAGCAAACACAATGCCAGGTAACTTATAAAAAAAAACTTCCTTATAAAAAGAACTTCCATTGTCTTTTTTTGTTTGTTTTGTTTTTTCATTTTTGCCTGCCTTCCTTCTCCCTCCCTGCAACCCCAAACCTAAAATAGGTCTGGGGGTGAAACCCTCACACATTCTAGCACGCTAGCTAACGATGAGCACTGAGCTACACTCTCAACTCAGCACTGTTAGTTCTGAATCCTACTTTCAGTCTCATTTGGCTGTAATGACAGGCGGTAAAGAGCTTCATGAACACTAAGGAAAGACTCTGAGATAAGGACGCAGTGGTTCTACAAGGCCATGTGTCTAATTTTCAGTTGTCTTTCCTCGCAATACCATGATCCCACCTTAAAACAGTACTGTGTACGCCCTTAATCCCAGCATCAGGAGGCAGAGACATCTCTGAATCTCTGGGCCTGTGGCCAGCCTGGTCTACAGAGCGAGTTCCAGGGGAGCCAGGGACACAGAGAAAAAAACGGAAGAAAAGCAAGAAGCAAAAAACTAACCAAACAAAAACTCAACAACAACAAAAAATAGTACTATGTGCAATTATGAGACCAAAGTGCAACTGAATGAAGATGCAGCTGTTGTAAGAAACTAGAAAAGACATCATTCTCATTGCATTTTGTGTTACCTGTTGCCTTCTGAGGATAACTTACTTGGTCAGCTTGTGGCTTTTCATTGCTGTGAGGAATTCTTGAACAATTGCAGGACTCTGGTTCCTGCATGGTGTTTTTGATATGTATTTTAATGTCTAAAAAATAAATACACAAAATAAAGCCAAACATAAGATATAAAAATTTTGAGGGTTTTTTTTAAAGATCTAGTTTTATTTTTAATTATGTGACTCTATGTGGGTATGTGCCCTTGAATACAGATATCTGTGGAAGCAAGAGGCTTCAGAACCTCCTAAAACCAGAGTTCCAAGCAGTTAAGTCACTCAGCATGAGTGTTGGGGAAATCAACATGGACCCTCTCTATAAGAGCATTATGCGCTCAAAACACTGAGCCATTTGAAGCCCCAGGACACAGGAATTTGAATAAGGAGCCGGAGAGATGGCTCAGTGGTTAAGAGCACACACTGCTCTTGCAGAGGACTCAGGTTCAATTCCTAGCATCCACATTGTGGCTCACAACTATCTATAACTCCAGTTCCAAGTATCTGACATCCTCCTCTGACTGACACACCCTTCTGTGACTATCTAAGGAGGGGCCAGTTCACTGGTGAGAGAGCTACAGAAGACACCCTCGCCCTCCGTGCTGCAGCCCTTCCCTGACATCGCCACATGCCCAGTAAAATACTTCTCTCAGCTGGTTTCTCTATTTGTCAGCGTTTTTTCCTGTCCCGTGCCTAGCACAGCAGCAGAGGCAGAGCTCAGCGGCTCAGCAGCCAACCACAAAGGTGGCGCGGGCAGGCTGCTCTGACAGCTGAAGACGACACAGAGCTTCAAGGCTGGCAGCAGCCTCCCAGAGCAGCCAGGGAAGGACCAGGAGGGACGGTGAGTGGAGAGTGGGTGAGGCCTGAGGCTGAAGGGCACAAGGCTGTAAAGAGTCAGGGAACAACCAGGGATATGGCAGCATTTGCCTGTGTAATCCCTGCACCTGGGAAGTAGAAGCAGGAGGATCAGGAGTTCAAAATCATCCTGGGCTACATAAGAAGCCTGCGATCCTATCTCAGAACAGACAGACGGAAGAGTTCCAGAGAGCCATCAAGTGCTTAAGACCAAAGCTGTCAGGCACCCCAGGCCTACAAAGTATAATACTGGTACTACAAGGGCTGCTGGGACGCTACCATGTCAACTGCTGCCTGACTTCCTAGGCCTACCCAAGAACTGGAACAGGAAGTCGCACTATCAAAAGCCTGCATGAGGTTATAGCACTGGAGGGCGCCACCCGCGGAGTCTCCCATAGGCCAGCTGCTGTCACCTCCAAGGAAAGAGACCCAGCACTAGCACTCTAAGAGCTTCCCACCTACCCACAACTCTCATCCAGGCATCTGGCTGGGAGCATCTGAGGGTCATTCGGGTGGGGACCCAAATACGCACTTAGTGTCTACAAGTCAAGGCATTTTACTCTGTCTCATCTACTGGCAGGTATCCCCATTGCTCCCACCCTCACTCACCTCGTAGGTGATGGCGTTCAAGTTCTGCTGCCCGGCACTGTGTTTGTTCTTCCCACTCTCCTTCCGCTGCTCCTTGAGATCTGTTAGCAGCTGGTACACCTAGGAAGAGACACAAAAGACATTTGTCAGTGAAGCTGAGATGTGTTTCCTCCAAGGTTCTAAAAGACAGTCAAGTTATGCACTTTCTTCCCACAAACCTGCTTTCCATGAGTTGATCTAGATCAAGTATTTCATCCTAGAATTGTGCAGCATCTTTCAGATGCCCTCTTAGCCAAACCAATTCAAGGCCTCCCTTATCTACTTATCTATCTATCTATCTATCTATCTATCTATCTATCTATCTATCTATCTGTCTGTCTGTCTGTCTTTCGAGACAGGGTTTTTGTGTAGCTTTGGAGCTTGTCCTGGAACTTGCTCTGTAGACCAGACTGGCCTCTACCTCCCGAGTGCCGGGATCAAAGGTGTGCATCACCACCACCCTACAAAGCATCCATTTATTTAAAATACTGTAGAGAAAGCTCAGTGACTAAGAGCACTTGCTATTCTTGCAGAGGACCATCAGCTAGCTCACAATTACCTGTAACTCCAGGTCGAGGGGATGGCCTAGCCTGGCCTCTAGGGGCACAATATTTACATGTACATACCCATACACAAATACATACATGTTAGAAATTAAAAATAAAATCCTTAAAATAATAACTGTGAACTACTACTTTAAAACATGTATAGCCAAGCAGTGGTGGTGCATGCCTTTAATCCCAGCACTTGGGAGGCAGAAGCAGGTGGATCTCTGTGAGTTCAAGGCTAGCCTGGTCTATAGAGCTAGTTCCAGGACAGGCTCCAAAGCCACAGCTCTCGAAAAACAAAACAAACAAACAAAAACATCTATCACAGGCCAGAGAGATGGCTCAGCTGGTAAAGGTACTTGCTGCCAAACACGGCAACCTGAGTTCAGTCTCTAGACCCACACAGCAGAAGGAGAAAGCAACTTCCACAAGTCCTCTGTTCTCCATGTCCATGCAGATACATATCACACAAATAAGTAAGATCTGATTTAAAAATTAAAAACATGCATCACTAATTCCTTCTTATCTCAAGCTATTATAACTATTTGAAAGTAGATTTTCCTAAATATTTTAAGGGGGCTCTGCTTAACATACAAGTCTAGGACAATAATTTCTTTCTATAACAGAAAGAGCAAGAGACAAATGATAAAACACAGCAACAAAAGAAAAAAAGAGCTGAGAACATTGCTGTGGCAAACCATTGCCTAATATGACAAAACCCCTGGGTCCCCAGCATGCTGAGAAAAACAAAGGAGAAACACTATGATTCTTGGAAGAAAACTTTCCCCCAAAGGAAAAACACAGACGCATCAAGCTGGGCTGGAGGTGACGGGGACTTTACTCCTGTTTCTGAGATTCTACCAGAGATCTGAGGAAAATACAAGCTCACAGATCATTACTAGACAGGTGTGTAACACCCACCTCCAATAGTCCCCCAACCCTACCACCTTCGAAAACCGGTAGCGTGAGATTCAATGAACATAATGTTTCCCCAAAGAAACAAACACCCAAATACTGAGCAAAGGCCAATCAGTACAAAGTAGTTCCTAAAATCAACGAACAGTTCCTTCCTGAGGCTAAGCCACAAACATTTAGGCGGGTCTTTAGTAAGCAATATGGCAGACTGAGTTGATTCTACACACACACAGCCCAGAATGGAGACTTTGAGTTTCACCGTGACATGGACCCTGATAGTGAATCTATACGCAGGCTCTTCTGCACCTGGAGCTGCCCCATCAGATGGCTTTGCAGCACCAAACTAGACCCCGGCAAAGCAGAAGGCAGTAAAAATACTAGGATCTCCCTTCTCACCAACTTCTTTCCTCTTTTTCTCCATCAGCCCTAAATTATAAAGCTGCTCACTCTTACTAAATTACAAAATAGTGAGTCAAGTCAACACTTAGTCTCAAAATGAGGGTATCAACATCTCTGAGGCCCTTTGAAGATCCAAATGAAACTAAGATTTTTTTTTTCTTTTTCTTTTTCTTTTGTTTCTCTGTAGCATTGGAGCCTGTCCTGGAACTAGCTCTTGTAGACAGACTGACCTGGAACTCGCAGAGATCCACCTGCCTCTGCCTCCCGAGTGCTGGGACTGAAGGCTCTACAGCAGCAGCTCCTCCTCCTGTCTAGTCTAGTGACAGACCCTGCGATTTACAGAAGGGCACTCATGAACCAGAGCCTCCCCGCTTCCCTAAGGAACCATGCATAATTCACAAAACTCAGACCATTCCAAGATCCACTGGGGGCCACCTACTTTGTGTTAAAGTGGAAACTTCAAATGAGTTGTTATTTCTAAAGAAAACTAATCTTTCTTTAAGCTGGGCAGTGGCTGTGCACGCCCTTAATCCCAGCATTCGGGAGGCTGAGGCAGGCGGATCTCTGCGAATTTGAGGTCAACCTAGTCTACAAGAGCTAGTTCAGGACAGGCACCAAAACTACACAGAGAAACCCTGTATCGGGAAAACCAAAAGGAAAACTAACCCAACATCTTCACAAGCAAAGACAAAACCAAAAGAAGAAAATACAACAGCCCCTGTGCGAGCCCTTACCTCGTAGTTACTGAGCAGTGCCGCGCTCGCGTTCTTCCTGCAAAGGAACAGTGAGCATCGTCAATCCGGTCTCAAGTGTCTAGAAAATAATCCCTTTAGTTGAGATCCAGCTAGCTAGTTCAGGAATCGAGAACAATCTAACACTAGAAATGCCTTAAGTCCTGCCTGGGTTAGCTAGTCCTGCATCAGCAATTTTGGGTAGAAACAACTTTCCTTTCCTTTCCTTTTAAAATTTATTTTATTTACGTGGAGTGTGTGTGTGTGTGCGTGTGTGTGTGTGTGTGTGTGCGCACGCGCCTACGAGAGCTATGTATATTCTACATGGGTGTGTAGATTTGCATGCCTGTGTGCACAGAAGACACTAACCCCCTCAAAGCTGGAATTACAGATGTTTGCAGAATACCTAGACTTGTCACATGGGTGTTGAGATCTAAACTCTGGTTCTCATTATGTAGCAAGCATTCTTAACCACTGAGCTATCTCTCCAGCCCCAAGGCTTTCCTTTTTATAGACAGAGCATATCATGTGCCCATTTCCCCATGGATGACTAAGATACCACATTATTCCAAACCTATGTGGACAGAAAGTTAGGTACAAGAACATGGAAGGTAACCCTCAAAAGAACCCAAATATAGAAGGTCTGTAGGCAGCAAGAGCATTATAAATGACTGAAGAAACAAGGTGTTGATTTGTCCTTGGCGAACATCCTTCTCTCATTCTTGGACAACCTGAGTCCGGCCACGCTGACAGAAATGGCCTATGTACTTTAACACGAATACTGCCACTAGAAACCCCAGCAAGGGTCAAGAATCCCATGAAAGTCACAGAGACGTCATATATTTAGTTGCTAAAAGCCTGGTTTTTCCCCTGCATAACAACTGATTAAGCAAGCTGTTACCGCTCCTGTATGAACACGGCTACGGCACAAGATGACAACTGATCCACTCCACACTATCACATCAGTAATGACTCAGATCATAACTGGCCCACCCCACACCGGGACAGCATAGGACACACTGCTTTAAGCAGCCCAGAGTCAGATACTATGACAATTAAAGACACAGTTTTGAAACCAGACATATTTTGGTTCTGATTTCCTCTCTGCCAAGTTAAGATGTAGATTTTATTGGGCCAATTTCTCCCCAAGCTTACCCTAGCTAAAACAAAATATGGGAACAATCTAGTGTAGCATGGTGGCTGGAGAGATGGCTCAGTGGTTAGGAGCTCTTCCTGCTCCTGTATAGTCCAGTTTCTAGCACTTACATCAGACGCTCACAACTGCCTGTAACTTGTTCCAATACCTCCTCCAGGTTCCAAGGGCTCGTGTACTCACATGGTGCACAGACAAGCAAGCAGACATACATAAATATAAATTATATATATTAAATTGAAGTGTAACCTGATTCTAAACCCCATGATGTCTGTCATTGGCTGTGTGTATTTTCTAAAGTGATTTCATCTCTATAATTAAATCTTCACATTTACAACATGGAAATTATACTATACACCTCTGTAAGATTATATACAGGATTAAATGTTATACACTTTTGTAAGATTA